AAGTTGTGTTCGGAGATGGCTGAGAAATCGGCACGCTTGCGTGAATTCAAGGAAGTGCACTGATTCAGAGCAATAGTATTGTAATGGCTTATAAATATCGTACTATCTTTCAAGAAATCCGAGTAAATCAGTTCAATCATATACACTATATATCACATTTCAACAGACCCTTTGAGGAGTTCGGGCACCTTCGATGACGGAGAGTTCTCACTGTCCCCACTGCTCGGTGGATCGGTCGTGATGTGGGGTATTTGGTGCTTCACTACGCCACCGTCTTGATCCGCCATTAACCTGTGTAGAACTTTAACGTTTTAAGTATTAAATGTACAATTAGCCATTGAGTATTATCTATCACTACTATATCACCATGATATTCAGCATTAAAATTATCAATGCTAGTATATTTCAATCGATGCTCACTCGTATAACATGTACATTATTAAGACAATGGGCACTCATTCGAATATACCCTGAAACTGAAGCTAGAATTCAGTGGAAACAAAATCATCGGTTCATTGTCATCGATCGTTTTAGAAGGACGGACAAAATCATATTTAAAAAAGCAATCAATTGAATGAATACGTTCTCTCATTTTGATCGCCCACTTATCATAAAGCATGCAATCAACTTAAGTATCATAATCATTTCGAAACTTTTTCTTAAGAATCAGAAACATTCTCATACGTGTTCAAGTTAATCTTGGATGTGGAACGTCTTCTGCGGTACCATACAATTAGTGGGAATAAAGAAAAAGAAGGAGAATGATAATGATGATACCTTGCTGTTTGTTGAGCGTGATTCATTCCATGTCGCATAAACGACGGTGGATTCCTGTGATGATTACGTCCTGAATTCGAATAATTTTAACTAACGAATATTCGAATCCAAATAAATTTAGTTGAGGAATTCAAAAACACTTGCTATTGTTGGTTTCAAGAATAGCATCGTTGGTTGGCTTGTTATAACTACGAGAGAAAAACTTTTGATAGCATTTGTTAGATCATTTGAGTAACTGATGTAAGAATTCATATTATCATAAAACGATAGGGCTGAAGAGTGCTCAAGACTAGTTCGCTGAATAAATAAGTTTGTCCATAAATTGTTCGATGGATTGATTTCAGGAATGTGAATACTCACCCATATAACTGGCCGTGTTGCCTTGGCCATCACTCCTCACCGATACGAGATCGTCTGTTTGTGCGTGCGTTTGATAATCTCGATTTTCCATCTGAAGCGGAAATCAATTGACACATTTTGAAAATCACGAAAATTCAGTCAGTTTGCTGGTGGCATTTCTTTCGCAATAATGTAACAATGCACGAGGTAGTGCTGGCTTACAGCGCACTTTTGCAGTAAATTTGCAATTTTTCATTCATAAAATTTTACATCAACATCTTGCTTTTTAACATAAACTAGCACCTAAATGACCGACCGTTAATATCTCGTATGAGAGTGCACTACGTCGAAACAATTGAGCATTTATCAATTGCTTTGAACATTTGCAAACCGCTTCAGAACAGTTTGAAATTTATGATTTCTCGGGCATTGAACGGATAATTTTTTGCGATGTTTTGCTTCATTCTATGATCAATCATTCGAACAACTGCTAAGGTCAACTACATTGGAACTGCTGTTAACGACTCAATAGTGAATTCAGAATTTTTGAAATGGATTAAATTACAGTGTAAGCTATCCTATTAAATTGCGGTAAGTCAACTGTGACGTGGTCTTAATGAATGTTAGACAATGTCCGTTTCAATATGACAGCACAATGAGCGGATGAATTTAAAGCAATGACAGGGCTGTAGGTTATCAGTTTACATCGAACCAGCAGATCCTATCATTTAACTAATGAGAAGTACATCAGAGAATATGAGATTTATCGAATTTGAAGGAATTTAAAGTGATAACAATTGATGTGTTGATACTGATAAGATGCCTAACGGCTAATATCGTGATATTTAAGGAGAAGACAATAATTCTCCGAAAAATATGAAAGAAACTACGATATAACAAGCCTCACATAAGTAGCTCACATAGGCTCGTTATATAAGCTCACATAACATATCGAGCCTCAAACATAACTGCATGACTACGAATGACACTAACAGACGACGTGATAATTTGCAATACTGTGATAAATGAAGAAACAAACAAGCAGTTCATGATTGATTTGCGTTACAGTGAGGATTGCTACCGATAGAATAATGGCCACACATAATAAGTTTCGCAAAATGATACTGGCTGATATGAGTGAATAAATGAATTGAACAAACTTGATAATCCCATCGACCCCTCCTGACCTGGCCATTGTTGCTGAGACCGGCGCCAGTTTGGGCAGTATTGGGTCGTCGTCGATTCCTTCGAACACAAAAGATAATACCATAAATGATCATCAATAAGTACCCGGTTACTGTTAGCGCAATAAAACACAGTCGCATATCGTTGAGGTAGCGAGCCACATCGTGCAAATCATCCGCCATCCGAATGAATTTGTACGATTCACTGAAATCATCACTCAATTAACACATTTCACTCCAATCAAGTTTCATGAAAAACAGCAACTTACCTGGGAACTTCAACAAGTTTACTGTGCGCTCAACTAGGATTTCGACTAGAATTATGGTTTGATAAGTTTCATTTCAGTCATATGATCTCATAGAATTCATAGTTTTAGTCGTATGTCAATGATTTTGCTACAAGACGGTCGGTTTTCGTCGGATTTGATGACTTTGAATAGACGATTCCGTAGATAATCGAACAATGAGCTCAACTAAGTGCCGTCGA